GTGCCCAGGTGGCTCAGTCAGTTAAACGCCCAACTCTCGGTTTCAGGTCAGGTCACAATCTCACAATCATGGGATCCAGCACCACATTGTGCTCTGCACTCAGTATGGAGTCTACTTCAGATTCTCTCTCCCTCTCACTCTCTCTTTCAAATAAAGAAAGAAAATCTTAAAAAAAAAAAAAAAAAAAGGATTAAAGGATTCCAGGAACTCTCTTGTTTTTTGAAGTGAAAAAGAAGTGTAAAAGTCCCACCCCTCTAAAAGAACCCAACCTCCATTTATGAAGTGTTCGATCAGAATCTATTTTATGTCTCTCATTCTACATTTCTAACACAACATGTAATCAGAGATATCGTTATAGAATTAAAATCAGGACAAGTATTTATTCTAAAGCATTTGTTATAATTAGTTCATCAGAGCACTAATACTATTAATAATCTCCTAAAATTCAGAAAGTTTTGTGATATATATATGTATATACATATATATTTTTTTCTCATATGTTACAGTTTTTATTTTTTTAATTTACCCTACAAAATTATTTGGTTATGTGGGGTAGATTCCAAGTCTTTTTCCATCTCTGTGTTCTTTTTTTTTTTAAGATTTTATTTTTAAGTCATCTCTACACCCATCATGGGGCTTGAACTCACAGCCCTGACATCAAGGGCCAGACTCTCCACAGACCAAGCCAGCCAGGCACCCCACCCCACCATCTCTGTATTCTTCACAGCCACAAATAGAGTTCCTTGGCTGTTCGAAAGTTTTTTTTGAGCTTGAATAATCTTTCTTTATAATTTTTAGGTATAATGAGATTTTATTCATACACTCAGATTATTTTATGTAATAGTATTCTTTATTCATCACTCTAAATTTGATCTTTAAAAATGTCTTCATTCTGTTAAATAAAAGCCAATGGTAATCATCTTTCTTCACTAATGAGTTTAAGGAATATATTTTTTTCATTCCAAGTTATTTTACTTCCAGTTCACTGAGCAGTATCATAGTTCTATGAATTGGTGAGTAAAACTTCCTTAGCCAACACCAAACATAAATTTACTTTTTAAACACTCACTTTTCAAATTTTATTCATAACCATTGAATATTTGCATGAGAATGCAAATATATTACTAGAAAGATAATTTAAATAGTTAAACAATAGACACAGTATAAATAACTGTAACACAATGATATTACTGAACAAGTCAAAGCATAATCTCTTGTGACATTTTTGCAAAAAAAAACTGGTATTTTTATGGGGTACTTTATATAGTGTTTAATTTAATTTTAATTTGTAAAAAGATTTATTTATTTATTTTCAGGGGGGCAGAGGAAGAAGGAGAGAGAGAATCCCAAGCAGACTCCCAGTTGAGCCCCACTCAGGGCTTGATCTCACAACCCTGAGATCATGACCTGAGCCAAAATGAATAGTCAGACACTTAACAGACTGAGCTAATCAGGCATCCCTATAATATTTAACTTTAAAGGAAGTAATATTGTTATCAAGGCTGTTGAATAATGCCCCTCCAAATCCATGTTTACTCAAAACCTCAGAATGTAAACTATTTTGAAAATGGGGTTTTGTAGATGTAATTAGTTAAGATGGAAACAAGTTATAGAAAAGTATGTTGGTGTGACCAAACATAATTCTTTTTTTTTTTTAAGGATTTTATGTATTTATTTGTCAGAAAAAGTGGGGGGGGTACACAAGCAGGGGGAGCACAGGCAGAGGGAGAAGGAGGGTGTCAGCTGAGCAAGGAGCCCGATGCAGGACTTGATCCCAGGACCCTGGCATCATGACCTGAGCCGAAGAGAGATACTTAAATGCTTGAGCCACTCAGGCATCCCATCAAACATAATTCTTAAAAAATATATATATATCCCTAGAGTGGGGTGTCTGGTGGCTCAGTGGGTTAAAGCCTCTGCCTTCGGCTCAGGTCATGGTCCCAGGGTCCTGGGATCGAGCCCCGCGTTGGGCTCTCTGCTCAGCAGGGAGCCTGCTTCCTCCTCTCTTTGCCTGCCTCTCTGCCTACTTGTGATCTCTGTCTGTCAAATAAATAAATAAAATCTTAAATATATATATATATATATATATCCTCAAATAACAAATTCCTGATAATTATAAAATTCTATATAAAAGGTTAGAACTTCCCTGACTTATACTAAACAATTAACCTTTAAAAAAGTAAGCAGAAATATATTCTTTTCCTTCATGGCTATTAAGAAACATTTGCAGCTCTTTTTTTGTGCCCTCTACTAAGACATATGGAGGGACCAAGAACCCAGTGATCAGACTGCCATCCAATGAATGCAAATTGCTCTTCATTACAAAGACTTTGGGTACAAAGTAAGTTTAGGCCAGGGAAGATAGCTTGAATCAGACAGGCGAGAGGAACTGGCATCTAGGAAAGGCTCAGAAATAAAGTTGGTCAAGTAACAATGGCCAGATCACAGAAAGTCTTGGGAACTAGAAAAAGGAACTGGCATCTTAGGTGGTAAGAACTGAAGAACGCTATCCCTTTTGAGCAGAGTAGTGCATGTTGAAGAAGAGGTAATAAAGCAGAGGGTGTAGTCTCCTGAGTGAATGCCTGCTTTGAATCCTGATTCCATCACTAATTAATTGTGTACTCCTGGGGAAGACCGTGAACTCTTCTAAGCACAGGTATCCTAGGGCAATAACATTCAGCTCTTAGAGATATTATGAACATGAGATTAAAAATGATAGGGGAAGGGCTTAAAGTCATGCCTGGCCCAGAGTAACAACAAAAGGAATGCTATTCACACTCAATGGACATGATCAAAAGATGTAGGCTGATAGAAGGCTACCAGGAACTGGAAAGTAGCAATGGAAATTTAGAAGAATAAGACCCATTTGAGGGGTGCCTGGGTGGCTCAGTGGGTTAAGCCTCTGCTTTTGGCTCAGATCATGATCTCAGGGTCCTGGGATTGAGCCCCGCATAGGGCTTCTGCTCAGCGGGGAGCCTGCTTCCTCCTGTCTCTCTGCCTACTTGTGATCTCCCTCTCTCTGTCAAATAAATAAATAAAATCTTAAAAAAAAAAAAAAAGACCCATTTGAAAGAAGACTGGGTGATTGTCAGAAGATAAGATTTGAAAGAAAATGTATTATTTACTTCGGGTACCCCTTCTCATGCATGGGGAACTTCCCACGGAACCAAAGAGCTTTGTTGAGAGGCAGGAACCCCATCTCCCATAAAGCTGAAGACAGATACTCATCCTCACTCTCCTTGGAAGTTTTGGGCCCAGGATGGGCCTGCAGCTAGTAAAATAAGTACTTGAATCTAGGACTTAAAATCCAAGGCAGGCTTTATAAAGAAGGTGTAGTGGACATAGTTCCTGCCCATTTCTCCATGGCCTTCCTTCTCGGCCTAAATGAGCCAGGGTTGGTGTCCACTGATGCCACCGAAAAATGATGAATTTCAGTTCCAACCCCCGAGTCTGGGAGACATGTTCAGAGAAGACTTGAACACACAGAGTTTGAGATGAAAGCTGAACAACGACTAGATCTTTCATGCAAGCTGAAAATATGAAAATAAAAGCAACACGAGAGTACAAGCAATACAAAAATAACAATTACAGCCTTAAAAAAGAGAGGGAAAGAAGGAGAGGAAGAAATGCTGGTAAGGATTACAAAGCTGAGCTCCAGTTCAAGGCATAGAGGAAATACTTAGTAAGTATTGATTACCTGGACTGTGGGGCTCTCCAGACATTTCAAATATTTATACTATAACTCTCACCAGCTATTTAACTTTACATATTTCTCTACCATTCAGTGATCAAGCCTATATTTAGAACTCAAATTACTATAAATATTTAGTACCATACTATGTTATATGGGATAATATCGACAGCTATCCCTTTGTTACCATGAAGCAGAGGAATGAGATACAAAGAGGTATGCACAAGACTAGAAAGTGATGGACAGCTCATGACTGGCCAATGGAAGCCTTTTTGGTTAGACTGATGTTTGGAGATCCCAGTGAATAAGTTCTGCTAGGCACTCCAACATTAGGGCACAGAGCATTCCAGCGAGAAGGAACAGCTAATGTAATATCCCCAATGTGGGATAATGTTTGGCTTGTTACATGAACAAGGAGGCCAGTGGGGCTAGAACAGAAAGGGTGAGGGGAGAAGTAGAATGAGTTGAGCTCAGAGCTATAGTCCCAACTCAGAGAGGTGCTGTCAGGGGATGGAAGGCTATTAGTACTAGGAATTCAGAGGGAAGGGAGATCAATGTACTCTAACAGATAACGTACAGAAAGCTTCTAACACACTGCCTGGCACTGAGTAGGAACTATATATAATGTTTATTACTATTATTGTTGCCATTAGTAACAACTGTTGCAAGAACAGTACAAAGAATTCCCAGGGACCCATGGCCAATATTTTCCAAATGTGGATATTTTACATTTGCTTTCAATGTATATGGTATGTATACTTCCCCGAACCCACCGCCATGCCCTTGTACCCTAAATACTTCAGCGTAGCGTTCTCAAAACAAGAAACCCTGTTACGAAACCACACTAAAGTCATCAAAATCTGGAAGCTAACATTTATACAGTGCTGTTATCTAATCTACAGGCTTTATTTTGGATCTTATCATTTGTTCCAATTATATCCCTTATAGCAGAAGAAATTCAAGATGATGCATTGCCCTGTCTTTATTTGTATCAGTGTGGACTCATGAATACTTCCTGTTTTAATAAATGATCATCTTTTATCATCATTATCTATTTTGGTGTTGAAATTATCCCAGATTTGGACAGTAGGGGCCTCTACAAATGGCCTCTTCTGTCCCTTGAACTGTCTCCATTATTCTTTGAGCGCTCCCTTACTTTGTGGCACTACAAGATGTTCTGGATCTACCTTGTATTTTTCCAGTCCTGGAACCAGCCATTTCTCTAAAGAGCTTTTTAGCCATGTGTGTTACTAATTAAAATTCCTCCCACCAACCCCCACGTTCCCTCCCGAAAAAGATTATTTAATACCTTTTGTTGAATCCATTCCTCCAACTGCAAATAACGTTCCAACTGTTGACTTTCTAGGTTTTGTCCGAGGGCTTTGTAACATGGGTCGTCTCTCTGGTAATAAATGGTATTTCATCGCTTCCATAATAAGTTTCTGACATTCTATATCATCCCGAAAAAGTGCATTATTTTCCATGTCTGCCAGGAACTAGAAAAGAATAATGAGTATGTGTGCTGAATGAGCAAGAAAATAGTAATTAAAAGAATATATAGTTCACAAATGGAAAGGATCTCATTTAGGAAAAAAAAAATCCAAGACTGGACACCTATTTTTAACTAAAATATGCAATATTTACAATGTACAAGATTTACATTTTAAATTTCATTGAAAAATATAAACTGAAGAGGATAAGTGGTATGCTCTGAAACCTGAGTAGTGTTTATCTCTGGATAGTGGAGAAATGGTGCTTCTTAAATAATCTTTTTACTGCTTTTCTATATTGTCTAGGTTTTCTAAAATAAGTCATTTTAACCTTATAAATTAGAAATGATTTTAACTGAAGAAGAGTAACTGTAAGTAGAAGTTGACTAATTAGACTGCATTTACCTGACCTCTCTAAATGGGGCTCAAAGAACAATAGCAGGGGCACCTGGGTGACCCAGTGGTTAAGCATCCAACTCTTAATTTTGGCTCAGGTCATGATCTCAGAGTCATGAGATCGAGCCCTGAGATGGGCTCTGCGCTGGGTAGGGAGTCTGCTTGAGGTTCTCTCTCTCCCTCTCCCCTGGCCCTTCCCACATCTAAAAACAAAACAAAACATAACAAAACAAAACAAAACAAAACCCGAAACCAGCAAAAACAACTTCCCAGTTTCTCAAGGAGCAAAGAACTCTAAATGGTGATAATCCTATGATAACTTACATACCTTGTGCTTCACTGAATCCCTTTTTAAAAATTTATATAATTTTATGCAAATGAATAGATACGGTTCCACCCTTTTTAAAAGATGATTTTCTTGTCTTATCAGATAAAGGGCTGGTATCCAAAATCTATAGAGAACTTCACAAACTCAACATCAAAGAACAAATAATCTAATCAAGAAATGGGCAGAAAAGGAATCTAGTAAGAAGTTGGTTGAAAAAAAAAAAGGAGAGAATGTGATTAGGCTGGAGACTAGAACAAACCATACATTAGATTTAGGGTATATTTTGGTCTGTTAGAAGAAACCGTATCCCAAAATTTTAAAGAAAGAAAAACTTATATGTATACAAAAAATAAGAAATGGGCAGAAGACATAAACAGACATTTCTCCAAAGAAGACACACAAATGGCCAACAGACACATGAAAAAATGCTCAACATCACTCGTATCAGGGAAATATAAAGCAAAACCACAATAAGATACCACCTCACACACTGGTCAAAATGGCTAAAATTAACAAGTCAGGAAATGACAGATGTTGGTGAGGATGCTGAGAAAGGGGAACCCTCCTACGTGGTTGGTAGGAATGCAAGTTGGTGCAGTCACTCAGGAAAACAGTATGGAGGTTCCTCAAAATTTGAAAATAGAGCTACCCTCTGACCCCGCAATTGCACTACTAGATATTTACCTCTACAAATGTAGTGATCTGAAGGGGAACCTGCACCCCAATGTTTATAGCAACAATGTCCACAATAGCCAAACAATGGAAAGAGCCCAGATGTCCATCAACAAATGAATACATAAAGAAGAGGTGGTATATATATACAATGGAATACTACTCAGCCATCAAAAAAAATGAAGTCTTTCACGAGTACTTTATAGTTTTCTGTGTATAGATTCTTAGCCTCTTTGGTTAGGTTTATTCCTAGGTATCTTATAGTTTTGGGTGCAATTGTAAATGGGATTGACTCCTTAATTTCTCTTTCTTCTGTCTTGTTGTTGGTGTAGAGAAATGCAACTGGTTTCTGTGCATTGATTTTATATCCTGACACTTTACTGAATTCCTGTACAAGTTCTAGGAGTTTTGGAAGTTGGTGGCATCACAATTCCGGACTTCAAGCTCTATTACAAAGCTGTCATCATCAAGACAGCATGGTACTGGCACAAAAACAGACACATATATCAATGGAACAGGATAGAGAGCCCAGAAATAGACCCTCAACTCTATGGTCAACTTCGACAAAGCAGGAAAGAATGTCCAATGGAAAAAAGACAGCCTCTTCAATAAATGGTGTTGGGAAAATTGGATAGCCACATGCAGAAAAATGAAATTGGACCATTTCCTTACATCACACATGAAAATAGACTCAAAATGGATGAAGGACCTTAATGTGAGAAAGGAATCCATCAAAATCCTTGAGGAGAACACAGGCAGCAACCTCTTCGACCTCAGCCGCAGCAACATCTTCCTAGGAACATCGCCAAAGGCAAGGGAAGCAAGGGCAAAAATGAACTATTGGGACTTCATCAAGATCAAAAGCTTTTGCACAGCAAAGGAAACAGTTAACAAAACCAAAAGACAACTGACAGAATGGGAGAAGATATTTGCAAACGACATAATAGATAAAGGGCTAGTGTCCAAAATCTATAAAGAACTTAGCAAACTCAACACCCAAAGAACAAATAATCCAATCAAGAAATAGGCAGAAGATATGAACAGACATTTCTGCAAAGAAGACATCCAGATGGCCAACAGACACATGAAAAAGTGTTCCATATCACTGGGCATCAGGAAAATACAAATCAAAACCACAATGAGATACCACCTCACACCAGTCAGAATGGCTAAAATTAACAAGTCAGGAAATGACAGATGCAGGCGAGGATGCGGAGAAAGGGCAACCCTCCTACACTGTTGGTGGGAATGCAAGCTGGTGCAACCCCTCTGGAAAACAGCATGGAGGTTCCTCAAAATGTTGAAAATAGAACTACCCTATGACCCAGCAATTGCACTACTGGGTATTTACCCTAAAGATACAAACGTAGTGATCCGAAGGGGCACGTGCTCCCGAATGTTTATAGCAGCAATGTCTACAATAGCCAAACTATGGAAAGAACCTAGATGTCCATCAACAGATGAATGGATAAAGAAGAGGTGGTATATATACACAATGGAATACTATGCAGCCATCAAAAGAAATGAAATCTTGCCATTAGCGACGACTTGGGTGGAACTAGAAGGTATCATGCTTAGCGAAATAAGTCAGTCGGAGTAAGACAACTGTCATATGATCTCCCTGATATGAGGAAGTGGAGATGCAACATGGGGGGTTAAGGGGGTAGGAGAAGAATAAATGAAACAAATGGGATTGGGAAGGAGACAAACCATAGTGACTCTTAATCTCACAAAACAAACTGAGGGTTGCTGGGGCGAGGGGGGTTGGGAGAAGGGGGGTGGGGTTATGGACATTGGGGAGGATATGTGCTACGGTGAGTGCTGTGAAGTGTGTAAACCTGGCGATTCACAGACCTGTACCCCTGGGGATAAAAATATATTACATGTTTATAAAAAATAAAAATAAAATAAATTAAATAAAAAAATAAAAAAAATGAATTCTTCTCTTCTGCAATGATGCAGATGGAACTAGAGGGTGTTATGCTAAGAGAAATAAGTCAATCAGAAAAAGACTATTATTATATGATCTACTTCATATGAGGAATTTAAGAAACAAAACAGAGGATCATAGGAGAAGAGAGGGAAAAATAGAATTCTATAGAATCTATAGAATTAGATGTCTAAAAATAGAAAAAAACCCGAACATTTTAAAATTCCTCATTTGGACAGGTCCTGAGTTGAAATCACATTCATCTGCATGAAGAACTGTTTTAGGTCAGAAACACTGTGTTTTATAACTCCCAATCCTGATCTTAGATTTGACTGGTGAGGATTCCAGGCACTGCATGACAGGAGAGACGTCTCTCCTGTCATTCAGTGCGCCAATTCCAGTATGTGTCCTACCTGGCCTGTAAAGTTTTATAAATATTTCTTAAACCTAAACCTCTGGTTCTCTGATGCCGATTGTCTTAATCTGATTCTCAATACTTTTTTAAACAAATAAACAAAAAATTTCCCTGCAAGATCACACATTTAAGTATTTGTTGCTTGTGGACAGATACAGAGAAACCAAGTATGTATGTGAATTAACAATTCAGCAATGGAGCTGTGAATCTCTGGATGGCTGCATATGCTGCAAGAAAAGTCCCTCGCTGGCCCTGCACTCCCTCCCAGAGAGGGAGACAAACCATAAGCAACTCTTAATGATAGGAAACAAACCTAGGGTTCCTGGAGGGGAAGGGAGTGGCGGGATGGGGTAACTGGGTGATGGACATTAAGGAGGGCGTATGATGTAATAAACACTGGGTATTAATAAGACTGATGAATCACTGAACTCTAGCTCTGAAACTAATAATATGTTATGTTAATTAACTGACTTTAAATTAAAAATAGCAAAAAAATTAAAAAATGAATTTCTTTTCCTTTTGTGCTTGTTTCTCCATCCCCCTCCCTACCTCTTTTTGCTGTATTTCTTTTATTCAGCCTATTGATCTATGTGAACTTAATTTTTAAATAGAGTATGAGCTGAGGAATATTTTATCTTTTTAAAGATTTTATTTATTTACTAGAGAGTGAGCAAGAGAGAGAGAGAGAGAGAGCACAAGCAGGGGAGAGGGAGAAGCAGGCTTCCTGCTCAGAAGGGAGCCCTATGCAGGGCTCAGTCCCAGGATCCGGATATCATGACCTGAGCCCAAGGCAGATACTCAACCGACGGAGCTACCCAGGCACCTGAGCTGAGGAATATTTTAATTTCCTTCAAGGTAGATGGCCAATTCTGTACCAGCACCATTTATTAAACAATCTCTGCCATTTCCAAGTGAATCAAACCTTGGTTATATTATTCTCATAAATACATCTCAGGATATATGAGACCTGTTTTCTGACTCTTCTATTGATCTTTTTGTCTATTCTTATTCTAATACCACATTTTTTTAGTGTCTTGATAGCATATTCTGGTTTTAAAAAAGATTTGTCAGAGAGAGTGAGAGAGCGAGCATAAGCAGGGAGAGCAGCAGGCAGAGTGAGAAGCAGACTCCCCGTTGAGCAAGGAGCCCAGTGTAAGACTCGATCCCAGAATCTCAGTACCATGACCTGACCTGAAGGCAGATGCTTAACCAATTGAGCCACCGAGGCATCCCAGCATATTCTGATTTTTTGATAGAAATCTACC